CCTACTATACCTCCCTAATTCGTAGCTACTGGTGCATTCAATTTGCCATCAATTCATCCGGTACACATGTGCGACAGTCGCTGAAACAATGCACAAATCCATCCTGTACACACCCAACTAATCTGTATCTGTCGATTGGTATGTCAGTCAGCCCGTCCGTCACTTCGTCCCTCCATTCGCACAGCAGTACATGCATCCAGCCATTCAACCAGTTATCCATGCATCAGTCCAGTATTCATTCATCCCGTATCCATCCCACCTCTGTCCCCCCGTCTTTGCAACTACTCATCTCGCCACCCACTCAATCACCCGCCCCTCTTCTTCACACACTTCACACAGCATCTCATTTCGCCAAATGTGGAGTGCATCGAGGACGACTGCATTTGGTGCAAAGAGGTGGCGACATCCAAGTGTGCTGCAAGGGATTTGGGTCAGGAGGTAGATGAGAAGGCGGACAAAATATTTATAAAAACCTGCAGTCAAGACTAAAGTAAGCAGCCAGGTGGAAAAGGTGGATGAGGGTGAAGAGTGCGACGAGGAGACAAGAGTCGACGAGTACTAACAGAGCTGGTACTACGAGGAGGGCATACCTTAGTACTCGCAGCCATGTGTATTGTGTAAGGAAGATAGATTAGGGGGGATAGTGGGATCATGGCCGAATTTCCTTTTTGGTTTGCCTGCTCACTCCATTTGTTGTTTTGCCTCGATCGGGATCTTTCAGTAATCACTGAGTGTTTTGATCAAATTAATAACGTATCTGAGGCGAATGTGTAATGAAACAATGTCCGTGTGCAGTTTTCTGGTGAAGAGTTTAGACGGGGGAAGATGTGGAATGCGTCGAGGACGACTGTTGCTGGTACTAGGTAGAGGACTTAGCAAAGTGCAAGGTAAGGTGTGTGATCTTTGGAATCGATGAAAAGGGGAATGAAAAAGACCAAAAATATGGTGAAATTGAGGATAGAGTAGATGACGAGGACGATTAGAGGTGGTGATAGGAGGCAGGCGTGGAGAAGTGGACACGAAAACATGGAGCGTGTGGAGTGGATTGTACAGTTAGAGAGGGGCCCATCCAGGAGTGTGGAAGAGGTGGTACTGACAAATGCAGCAGTCCTGATGGATCGCTAGAGAAGGGTGGCAATGGAGGTGCACAATTCTGCCCCTACTACTGACCCACTTTTTCCAGGGTGGTTGCATGCATGGAAGATTGCGAATTCTGGCGTCCACTTGCCCAAACCTTCAGTTGTTACGCTGTCACTCAGATCAAGTCATTCAGCAGTGCATTAAATACGGCAGCATTTCAAATTAGTTGGATTATTTTAAATAAGAAAGAGCAAATATTTAAGAGGAATTTATTTATAAATAATGGCTTTTATTGCATTGTGATGCTAAATGACTAATCAATGCGAAAAATGTATTTTAGTGTATTCGTGCTGGAAGCATGTATGGAAATTGAGGTGAATTGGGTAGAATGTT